GACAAATTTGAAATGCTACCAGGAGACTCTTGGAGATAGAGCACAGAAAGGACTAGCCATGGACTGGAGGAAACAAAACAAGTGGCAGTGAAGTTTTATTTCTGTAAAGTATGAAGGAATAAAACATTCAGTAGCATGGAAATGTATTTTCTGTATGCCTCATAACACCTCTGCTCAACTGTTTTGACTTTGAAACCCTGGTGAAAAGCCTTCAGAACACTCATAAAACGGACTTTCTTCTGTATTTAACTCTACAAGTTCTTTCCTTCTGTGTGAAGCAGCTAAGGTTGGCAAGTATGGTTAACTTTGGGACAGAAAGGAAGCAGAAACAGTGAACACTCTTTGCAAACATGGCAGGATGTGAGTGTTTTCAAACAACATCTCCAATGCAAAGCAAAAAAAAGTTGCCTTTTTTTTTTTTACAAGTCTAGATGTAGCACAAACTTGGAAAATTTTAGTAGAAGCTATTCTCATTACACTGAGAACATCAGTGTTTATTACCTCTGTAGATGTAATTTTGTCAGTATGGAATCTCAGCTGAAACGTAAAGCTTTTATCTCCAGCTGTAAAGTAACTCCTGCCAGGTTCCTTGAAATATCACCAGGGCCAGGGAAATAATTTGTTCTCTACCTCCAATCAATAGTAATCCTTTTGAGAGGTGCTTCCCTCACCCCTTCTTAGTATCACCTACCGCCAGCTGAGGAACAGAGCATTCTGCTACCATCAGGCAACTCACCTTTTCCTGTGCATTTGAAACCTTTCCCCTTCCAAACAAGCCTGGTTCATGTGCACCCTGTGCAGCAATGAGAACAAACCCAGTCAAGGGCCAGTCCCCCTGCAAGGCAGGGAGGTAGAACCACTGGGTGAAGAAAAAAGCCAGAGCAAAGCAATTCTCTCTTCAATAATTTGTTTCCCAATAGACTTTTTCACACTATCAGTTATTTTCTTGCCTAGAGTGTGTTATGTGAGCAGTTTGGACATTCTGATTAGGCATTCAGTGTATGCCTAGTCCAAGGCATTTTCCGTCTTTTGTTGAATACTTTTCATAACTGTGACAGGTGAATGGTTGTGAATGTGTGCCAAAGGCAAAAGGAGTTGTCCTCAATGCTTTCAAAGCCATCTACCTGTTCACTAAAAAGAGGGGAAATGCTCACACTCGGTGACTAAGAAAACGCATCCTTTTCTGCAAAGCTAATCCAGGCAACAGAGAACTACAGAAATGTGCCAACATTCCTCACTTTGAAACAGACAGCAGGAATATGCTTACTTGTAAATCAAGTCCCTGCCAAACTGGTTTTCTTATCTGAAACGAGTTTTCAAGAAATTTGATCATCCAACAAGATTTTCAGTGGCTGAAATTCATTGGGGAAAAAACTGTCTCTTTTTGAAGCTCATGATTTTCTTTGTAACAGAAGCAGGTTTTAGCACTCACAGAAACCACCGAGGCCTGGAGCCCCATACAGCACAAACTCGAGCCGTGGTTTCCCTTAACTAACCCTGCAGCCTACAGTATCAGATGGTCAACTTTTCTCTATTGCCACAGAGCTAGACCACCTAATACAAGCTCTACTTTGCGAAACTTAAACAGAGCCTCTTCTGTGTCAACTTTCAAGGGAGAAAAAGGTGCAAACTTTCAACAGATTTCACGTTGCTAAGTCCCCATATATGAATCTTGAACAAATCGTAAACCGAAGCAAAGATTTAGCACTGAAAACTTCAGCCATGATAAATATTCTCACCAAAATTGTGAAATCTTTCAAAGAGAGACTCCTGTGTTTGGAAAGATGGTCACATAATTGTCTAACTTTACAATAAATGCTTCATCTGCATTTCAAAAGTTAAAATTAATTTTAAAAAGCTGGTCATCCCTTTACTGAAATATGCCAGTCTAGAAGCAACTACAGCATCAGTGCCTCTTGAGAACTGCCTCTAGTTGTTCCATTTTTTAATGTTTACATTATTATGTCACACATCAAAGAACCCCTGGATAAAATAGTCATTGAAAAGATGGTTTACTTCTCCAGCAAGGGGAAATCACATGAAGGACAGGAAGACAAGCCTAATCTACAATCTCAATTATATTCCTGTACTACCTACTTAGAACAATAGGTGATGATTGGAATAATGGAATTCAGTACTCCAGAAGCATACATCTCTTTTAGGATGTAAATTTATATCTTCTTTCAGGAAGATATAAATCACATTTTAAGCACCACTGAATAGACTGAGCAGTCACACACTGAATAGAAAGGGTCTCTATGATTGTTTACTACCAGACAGAGGTCTACCACTCATATTTGCTACACCTAGTTGAGCAATCTGTACACTGAGGCAGTAGGATCATGCTTAGCATGCAACCCAAGTTAAGTCAAGCACCAGGAGAGCACATGAAATACTAACAGTGTCTCTCTAGCCATATAAAAGTACTAGAAATACCATTTGGTCAACATTTATATACATATTTAAATGCAAGATGCATGATGCTAAAGCATGTGGAACTTTTTTTCACCATGGGGAAAAACTGAAAATAAATCATACGCACACATTTTTAAAGTTCTAAGTGTCTCTGCTTTGCTTATTCATGTACAAGGCACACAAAACACTCACACAAAAGATGCTGGCAAAGCACTCAAACTTTCACCTTAACAAAACATATCAAATAGAAGGGAAGATCTGTCTCCACATGGACTAATGAAACAAAAATTACTTGAGTTCAAAGGTCATATTAGCTAGAACATTTTCTACCAAACCTCCCCGAGCCATAACCATGTTTCCACAATAAGACCAGGCAATAACTGAGAGTTTGTATCCACACATTGTAAAAAGCTACATTAACAAGATGACACAGATATTTTGTTGGAAAAATGTTCATAAGGCCTTACTACTCAATTCTTAACAGTATTCACTTGGCCCAGAAAAACCTGAAATTTTTATAGCAGTCACCACAAAATTTGCTTCTAAATTGCTGGCAGTAATACATAAAAAGGAGGGGGTTTTGATAATCAACAATTTGAATGGAAATGTGAAACTAGAAACATTCTACCTTCTAAATTCCTTATGTCAATATTATGTCCACTACCTTTGATTTAATTTATTTTGCAGTGTTACTGTACTGAGCTTTTTTGGCTCATTTGTAGGAACTGATGTGAATGACTGGACAGCAGTTTAAAGAAATTACTCCACACCAGGCAAGGAGCTCTTGCTCAATTTAATTTTTTAATGGGAAAAATAAGATCAAAGCAAGACTAAATTCCCTTGGAAACATGAGGAAAGCTCCAGGGATATTACTAACATTCCTAGGCCAAAGGAGCTGTTTCTGTAGTGGATATAGCAACAGCAACTTGGCCAATTATCCCTGCAACAGTTTTAGTATACAAATCCAATTTAATGAAGATCGTTCACTCATATTTACTAAGACAAATGTTTTCAGTCTATTAGTTTTGATTAAACAAATCTGTTTTCAAGAACTGCCTAGAAACCAACTAAATGCTTCCATCAAAAGAACAGCATAATCTCTTTTCTTGTTTTCAGTATGTGAAGATTTCCTTGCACTAAAATGTTTCTGCTAAGTTGTAGCATGCCTGGTTTTTCACAGTCAGTGAGACAAACACTTCTACTCACTCCAGGGAAAACCAATACAAAATTAGCTGAAGAAATACAAAATTATTATATGAACACAGAAGGAAAGATGTATGTGTATCAGTGTGTGATACATATATGTACATATACATAAACATATATATATATAGATATGTATGTACATATAAAAAAGACAAGTACCGTTTAACTTTAATTATTAGGAAACAATTTTAAATAACAGGTTTAAATAACAGGAAACAGCTCTACAATGCAGCATTCAAATATATAATTTGAAAATATAAATTCAAAAATTCAATGCAGAGGATGTAAAATTTGGGAAATTTTAAGAAAGAATTGAAGACACCAGCTTATAATTTTGAGGAAAAGCATTACTACTGGTTTTTTTGTGATGAACACAAAGGGTACTTCAACTTGACAGCTCTTCCTTTGCTTCAATGCAAGGTCCGCCCGTAGCAGGGAAAAAAAACCTAGTTTGTGGGCTCAAAATTACCAGTTGATCAAAGCTCACAATGTAACACTGAGAATACAAAGCTTCTTCTGCCCTGAATAAATTTGCATAATTTACAGAACTTAGATTGGCTCAATTACACAACCAGACACGTACTCTTCTGATGCATTTCATCACCCAGCTTCATACTGACAGTGATGGAATAAAAACACGTGTCCAAACTTAACTGTGTACTAACATTTCCTTCAGACTGAATTTTAACCCCTTCTCTCTCCTTCTGGAACTTCATTTCCATTAGCAAAGGAAATGTTCTTCTCATAATAAGTCAGTATCAGTAGTGTGCTGTAAAAATTACTTCAGTTTAATTTAAACTTAGCATCATTTTTCCTGGGGCATGGGATCAGTTATGAATAGTTCACTTACCAGTACCTTATTAAGGGCACGTGATATAATATATACTGCACTGTAGTAGAAAATGATGCCAACAGTCAAGTGAAAATGCAGGTTAGATTTTAAAGTAGAAGACAAAGTTATAGGAAACATGTTCACGCATTCTGTTAAGGCCACTAGGGAATTAGGAAAAAAAATTATCTTATTGCTCCAGGACTGGGGGAAGAAATATTTTTCTTTAGCTTGAGCTATTAGTACCTACTTTTTACAGCAGAAATCCATCAAAGCAAGAAAAAAAAGCAGCACAGTTCTAACAAAGTAAGTCACAAAACAGCAACACTTTGTTCAACGTTTTAAGTTCAACTTGAAAATACATGGGAAATTTTTAGTTTGGCCTGTTAAAAGAATCACTGAAAAACCTAGTATTTTAGTGATATGCATCATACATTGTGCACAACATCATTAGCTTGACTTTGCAAGCCCCATTTTGTGCAATCACATGCTTTTTGTATTTTACATTTACCCATTATAGTAATGCATGCAATAAAGTACACAGTCAGTATATTTTTAGTATCTTGGTTTATTTTTGTTATGGTTTTGCTAGACATGGTATCGATGCATAGTTGGAAACATCAGTGAATTTGAAATGCACACGGAATACTGGTAAGGAGTTGTTGGGCAATTCATCTGTAGCAGGCAGGTGTTGGGTGAAGAGGTGTAGCAGGATGCTCTGCCTGGATGGCAGTAAAACAGCTGGAATAACGCCCTGTTTGCAAAGCTATCAGAGGAGGAAGGGGCTGTCCTGGTGCTTTTGGTGCTGCATAATGCTGAAACCTGCCTGACTCATCAATCCCAGAGTTAAACACTCCTGACAGAAAGGTGAAGCTGTGGCAGATCTGGTAAGGTACCAGATAAAGCAACAAACAAGTGGTACTGCTAACTTATCTAAAGATGCTGAGGTGACACAGCTGGTCTGGAAACATAGGGCCCATTCCCACTTTTTAATGAGTGGGGAGGTCCTCCAACAATCCCCTTTCTGAAAATTCCTTCCTTGAGATTTGCCTCAAGGTTACCCGTCAAAGCTGAGAGAAAGCGATTTCCCCACAGTCATCGGTATCGGTGAGTACAATCAATCTCTACTTCATAATTTCTTTTGTACCTTTGCTTCAATATTGCTTCAAAAATAGTGGACTGAACTAGACTAGTAGTTATAGCTACTTATACTGTGCAGTAAATAATTCTGATTAAGATCTTTTAGTCTCATCATTATCATAGTAAGTTATAACCCTAATAATAACCCTAATTTATCCTTAATCCTGTGGGACAAAGCTGTGAAAAGATTCAATAATGCCTATTTAATGCATTAACATAAGCCATTGACAGGATCTGGGACTGAGGCTGGATCCAGCTGCACCCAGAGGCCTCTATGAGGAGTTTGGAAAGCAAGAGGGTCCTGTCTGTGCCTCATGACTCAGGAGGGGGGCTTCTCTCTAATCTCTGTAGCTCCTGCTCTGCCCACGACACACAGGCTGAAACAAACACCTAACTTCCCCTTTGTACCTACCCTGGCTACCCACAAATTACAGCAGCACATGCCACGTGTCAGGTTACCTTGAACAGCTGCTAATGGCCTCAGTGAAAGCTGCCTAAATGTCAGGCTGAGGTGAGAGACTGCCATGGCTGTCTGGAGGGAGAAAAGTCATGGTACTTTGTACTTGTACTTGTACATGGTACCAAAGTACTTTGTACTTGCTGCTTTCCTTAATATGTGTCTGAGTTCATGAAGGGTTCACCTATTGCTGTGGTAGAACTGGAGTAAGAACACGGCTGGAAAAAATGGTGCTTTGAAATACAGCTCAAAGTTACTGTGAATGCTCACACAGAAATATCTAGACACAAAGAGAATTAAAATTCATAGTTTTAAAGAGAATTAAAATACATAGTTGTAAACTACTGAATATGTACCCATTAAATGGTCCTTAAACATAGCTAGAACAGTACAGTACTGATTTTAAGGACTGTGGGTAGACCTAATTACCAGAAACACTACAGCTACAGTCTGAAAGTGAGAAAGTGTAATTCTACACCGTGTTCCTATTATACATTTCCCTTTGAAAAAAAATCTGGATAAAGCACAAAATTATACAAACTTTATATCATGAAACAAGAATAGAGAAAATTTTCTACACAGGTTTCAGTCTTCACCCCTTGCACAAAATTTATTCATTATTGGCATTTCATAGCCTGTACTTTAAAATACAAGATAGAAGTAAAATGAATGAGCAATGCTCCTCTAGTAAACCATCCTGCATTTGGATGAAAACCAGTTTTGATCTGAAGCTCTAAAGCAAGATATTTCTTATGCTGTTTCTGGAAAACTCTAAAGGACAGAAATTCACAGCATGAGGATAAACCTCTAAGGGGGTTTTTGCTCTTCCAATCTTCTTTCCAACAAAGAAACCTTTTATTCATTTTATAATAAAGGCTAGACAGGCCCACTGTACTATCAAGCAAGTTTGCATTGGCATAAGTTTCTAACGTGAAGAACAGACAGGACAGTGACTATTCTTTTGATGCAAAGACACATTTTAAAGAGGTGCAACACTTTCCATGATTAGCATAGAATGCTTCAAACAGCCTTAAGGATTCTGCAGCCACAGGAAGTTTCTGGTACTTATTACAACAAGCATCCCATTTAATAATTTTTTAAACTTTATTCTAATACACATTTAATAATGTAAATGTACACATCATGTTAAACCCTTACACCCCTTGGTAACCTAAGTTAAACACATGCTACCTTATACATGCAGTTCCATAAAAATGATCCCCTTTTGACAGCTATTCATCACAAGCTGGAGTAGTTAAGGCCCCATCTCTTTTATGGGCAGTGAATAAAAAATTTAAAAATTATTAATAGACATTCTCAGCTTGTATATTATAAACTGCACAAGTCTAGACAGTCTTGTCTAGTTAGACAAGACCAGACAACTTTTAATTTGGGACTCTTTCTGAGAGATGTCTATAAACAAAAACTGAATAGTCCATAGTGCAAATTACTACCTCATAAACTGCAGCATAATAACACTTTTCCTTATGGATCTTCTTTATGAGGAAATTTATATTTCTGTAGTATAATAATAATAATTATAATGCATTTTATTTTACACTTATGAGGATGATATTGCACTTAATGGAAAATGCTTTACTGAGTAGTAATATCTTTAAGCAAGCCTGTTTTATAAGCAAATTTTATTTTCTTGAGTCTCCCTGAATCTTCACACAATTCTTAAATATTAACTAAAATTCCTTGGTTTCAAATTAAACAGCATTCATATTTTGTGTATTTTTAAAAATTAAACAAATTGGACAACACAACATAATACTATAAGCAATCTGTATACCCCTTTCTAATTTTGAGGCTAGTAATTTTCTGAAAATTTAGTATTAAGCAATGACAGGGGGATACAGAATTTAGTAAAACACTTTGTGATTACAGGTTCAAAGAGGTGTGGATAGACAGTGTGAAATAGAGGCGGTGTTTCTTTTAAAATGCTTGAATGCAAAAATCCAGCAGGACTCCTAACATATTAATAAATTAGAAAGGCTAACAGAGATTTTTTTAGAATTCCCATACACTATTAAATCCTCAATAATATCTGCATTTATATAGAACTTCAAATTTTTAAAGTGCCATACAAATACTATCTGGATGAAACATATTCTCCAGAGGCAGAATAGAAATCCAAAGTGAATGGTGATCACATGAATGGCACCATAACAGTAAAATGCAATGTAATTACTACAGAGAGAAACTAAGTACTTTATAATCAGCTCACTATGCATGAACTATCATGGAAGACCACACACTGTACAAGGGAAATGTAGAGATATAAAATTATTATTATTCATTAAATAGGTTCTGTGCCCACAAGGAATTAACACAAGAGCTGTAATTGGCTCTACAACTTTAAAATGCCTAATTCAGAAGGTGTAGGAAACACACGGAAACCCTTCAGTGACAGACAGGCAGGTTATTTCAAGTGCTTGCACAAACCACCTTGAAACGCCATTATTCCTATACATCAATGCGGATTCCATGTTTTATGGACATTAATTCTCTAGTGCCTGTTAAATACATAATAAATGAACACAGATGAGGTAAAGATGCTGTAATTGCCACATACAGCCAATATGGCAAGGGAGGAGTTTTTCCAAACGGGCAGATCCAGAGGCCATGACGAATCCCATCACGGACATGATGAGAAGTCCAGGATATGAACAACATCCAGGGAAGAAAGCACCATGAGTCCTTAAGCCTGAAAAGCTGCATGATAAACTTTAATGTCAGAGCCACCACAGGAATCACAGTAGAACAATGAAGAAGTGGTCTCCGCGGAAGAGTCAGAGCAGCCTGTAGAAGAGAAAAATATTACTGCCAATGGCTACAACTGTAACAAGAGAAGAAAAGTTTCATGAGTGTATACAAGTGCATTGTCAGGTGACTAAATGGAAGCAGAAAGAAAAACATACTTTCCACTGAAATAATTTAAAGCCAATTTTATGCATGAGAGTTGTGTTCTGCCCTGTCTCTATGTATGACATGAATCATGCATCCTACTAAGTACTATCGTCAGCAAAACAGGGAGGGAGAGGGATGAGGAATCCTGTTTGCCACACAGTCAGGTGGAACACGGGAACCTGTATTATCTGCTGCACTGATTATACGTCTTTAATTTCAAGACAATTAAAAGGAAAACAACCATGCAATACACTTGAAATATTTAGTATGTTTTACTTGAAATAAATCATGTGCTTTAATGGCATTTACTCCCAGAAAAACATCCTGCATTTTACTATAGTTGTCACCTGTAAAGTTGGTTTAGTTGCACAGTGTTTAAAACACCAAAATAATTTTCAATAGGACAAAAATATGAGCAAAGTTATATGTATTTTGATCACCTTGAGACAGTATTCTTCACGGTCAGGCAAAACGAAGTTTATCAACAAAGATCTGAAACATTTGTGAGTGGGATTTTTGTGTCAACAACTTGTTTATCAATAACTCAGCTGAAAGTCTGATATTTGGTTTTAATATTGATGAAGCCTGATATTTGGTGAATGTCTAGGTACTGAGATTAGATTTAGCCATTTTAAGAAGTGATAATGTCAATTTAACACACATGTTTGAGGAGATATTCTGTGGGTGTACTCAGTCAGTAGCAACAGTTAAAACCATCACCCCAAATTCAAACACAATAAAAAAACTGTAGTGGCATTTTGGATTACTATTTCACAAAAATAAGTAGATTCTTGTGTCTGTAAGCACAGGAGAAACAACAGCACACTACCAGAAGGTCTACAGAACTGCTGATGCCATACTCATTGGCTCAATTCAGTCGCTGGAGGACACTTAGAAAACCTGTAACAAGGCCCCAGAGATGTTAAGCAATAGTGTATCTTTGCTGCGTTGAGCACATCCCTCACTGCTCCTAGTGCATAAGGCAAACAAAGCATCTCTAACCTGTTCATTCTTCAGTTGTGTTAATCCTTGCAGGATTCAAAAGGAAGAGGGCCTGGCAGTGGGACTCTGGAATAGGTTCATCAAGCTCATGCATAATTTAGATAACTGCATGGAACACTACCTTCTCTGCAAGGAAGCTCTGATGTAGCTGTAGCCAGTTTATTAACTGATTAGAGATGGGAAGTTACAGGCTACCTTGAAAAAAAGCAGCTCATGCTTTAAACCACAGCCAACCATAAAAGGCCTGCAGAAAGCTTTGTTCTATTAGCTTGCCACCACACACTTGTCCTTGACTCCTGATCAGGTAATGGGATTTAAAAGCTCACAAACTGTCTCAACAATTTTTAACTCTAATGTGGTGGACGCAATTCCTTTAAGTTGGGGCAAAAGGTGTATTTTCTTCAACTTCAGTTCTGTTTCACACAAGCAGATTGTTCAATGATTAAGGCAGAAAAATCTTGTGATGGTGAAATTTTTTATCACCTGCCTTACAAAGAGTCCAATTTTTGTTACTGCCAACAAAAGGCTCAAAAGTACATACTAACTTGATTTTGAAGAAACCTGAATGTTTCCACAGATAATCTATTGACTGGCCTCTATTTCTGCACTTTAGAAAAAAACCCAGTAGAACAGTCTAAATTAGTCTTTTCCCTCTGGCTTATTAAGGTTAAGTGCCAACAGCACACAGTGGGTAAGGAAAATTTTAATCATACTTATGTACACTTAGTTTATCAGTATTGGTGATAAATTCTTGAATTCTTTTAATATAAAATGAAATATCATGATTTCATTTTATATAAAAAGAATTTAAGCATCAGTAAGGTGATGCTTAAATTCTTTTCATATAAATTTCAGATGGCAGGGTTGTTCATATAGCAAACCTGAGTGTTCAATGACAGCAAGAGAAAGTTCTATTCTGTAACTGCAGTAAGCCATCAAGCTTCTGAGATGCTGTTGCCCAAGGCCTGAGAGAGTTTCCTCTTTTACATTCTGTGACTAAAGGAACATTTTCATCCTTGAGTTGCCAAGCCCTGGACACAGACAGGTAGTTCTGTTAGCTGATTTAACCTGCTACAATCTCTTTTTCCTAACAGGAAAACTTGTTTGCCTTTAGAAAGCACCAGATCTTTAAAAAACCCCAAAAACCACAAAAACAAAAAAAAAACCCCCACCAACAACGAACAAAACAAAAAAAAACCCCACTGCAAAACACAAAAAACCTCTTTTCTGCCTTAGACCTCCTGGAAAAAGTTGCAAACAGAATTTATTTCCAAAAGACCTTTTCCATTTGCCTACATATGCAATCAGATGCAAGATCATCTTGCAGTTGCTGCTTCTCCAGCCTCTCTAACTACAATGAGCAGCTGGAGACAGGATACAATAATTGCACACAGGAGAACCCACACAAATTATCTGCTTTAATGCTCATGGAAACGCAATGGATGTTAGGTAATAACAGATGCTCCCTCACTGATACTCTGTGGTGCTTCACAACCCTGAAGTCTTTAGTTCATAGTAACATATTCAATGTAACATAAAGTAGCAATATTAACAACATAGTAACATATTCAATCCTACATCAATTGTGCTTGCACAAAGTTTATTCTCCTTCCAGAAATGCTCCTGTACAGCCTTAGGTCAGTCATGGGCAGCACATTTCCCAGCAGTGCCAGTGTTCTGTATGTTTGCCACCAACTGAATGTTCTACGCTTCCAAAATTTGGTGACTGTTTAGCACCAAGACAGCAATTTCTGCATGTCTGTTCTGCAACGTGAGTGTCTGGGCTACAATCCTGGTGGAGTCTGGGAGCAGCCCATCACATCATACCAGCACTCCTGACTGACAACAGGCTGCAGGAACTACCACCTTTGGAGCAGTCAGTGGGACAGGTTCTTCTATACTTGTGTGCACAGTAAAAACCACATGAAGCACAAAGAACTACAAATTCCAAGTAGTGGAGTCATTGTAGACTATCATACTCGTTGCAAAAATAATGTGGGCAAAAGGTCAGATCACATGGTACTTGGTACACAAGTATTTATCAGAGCAAACATACAAATACCACAGGTGACTATTTACCCTGAATACTGCAGAAAAATAATGATGACCATGAAAAACAGACCAATGGCCAAACAATCCAGGCGCTGAGTGGCGTCAGCAGGAACAGAAGTAGGTGACTAGAGTAGTGTGAAGGTAGCAATTGGAGGCAGAAAGGCAGTACCGCCTTGTGCCACACAGAAAGATTACTCTAGAAAAAATAACTCGTCATCAGATTTAAAAGTGATGATGATGAGCTTTACAGGTGATTGTGTGCAGTAACGTGAAATATACTATTGGTACAAATTAGTAATAATGGTGTGGTTGGTTAATTATATGAATTAATTTTTTTAGTTATTTAGTAATGTGTTGCAAAAGCAGTAAACATGTTAGTATCTTAAAGCAGTTACTCTCAACCATGCAATTTAAAGACAAACAATGGGATTGTAACTACAAAATATGTAGTAAAAAAGTATCCCATGAAGTGATAAATTATATAGGTGACAGCCTGAAATTATGCCAAGAAACTGACAAGCACATCATATAAAGCCAAGGAAAGAAAAATTACATACTACAATCAGATCTAGCTGGCTAGACAGCACACAGAAGAAAAGTTTATGAGGATTATGTTACATCACAAACCAAAGAGACTCTGATGGCACTGTAAGAAGACAAAATCTGTAACAGATTATTACTCTTTTTTTAAAGGACAGAAGGATTGTACTTTTCTGCCTTGAAAGGAATTAAACTACAGTATTTGGCTCAAATGAAGTCTCACCCAAAATACTACTCGTGGTTTTGGACAGGACCCTTTAGAGGTAATTCAGGCGAAAAAGCAATAGATGGGAGAGGAGAAAAATAGTATGAGGTTTAGAAAACACAAACTTGTTTCCTTAAGATTTTTTTTTTAAAGTTATTTAGTTGAGAAGAGAGTCTTTGCAAAGCATAGGGACTTTGCAAGTTGTAATGACAGTCGAGAGACCTACACTGGATTATTTCCTTTATTAGCCCAGTTAACATATGGAAAACGAAGAAGTTGGTAGGCAAATCACTTTGAAAAAGCCTTTGAGCATCTTGTCTTTTCCTTACCTCAGCTAAATACATTTGTCTACTAAAATGGGCTATGATTCTATCGGCAATGTTTTGTGTTTCTGATTTGAAAAAAATTTTGAGGGAGATCACAGAAGTCAGCTGTCTTTTGCAAAAAAACCCCTAAAGAACAAGAGAACTAGATCTAACTGTCATCAACAATTAGAAAATTAACTGCTATCTGCTTGGGAACTGAAACAACACAGGAAGAAATTAGGTCACAAAATTACAAAAATTTGCTTGGTTTCACATAGTAGGGATAGGCTAGGCTACAGAAACATTCCCCATCAAGGAAGGTGTAAGTATATTTAACCTTGCCTCCCTACCAAGTGGCAAGTCACCTCCCGATTCCATAACACAATTCAGCAGTCAGCTTCTCAAACTGATATCGGTGAAGTGTGACATCTAGTGGTCATAATTAAGAAAAATTCTGGCAATCATCTCAAATGCATGAAAAAGCAGCAATAAAATTTTAATACTTTCTAATAGCTAGCCATTCACTTACTTGCATTCACTGATTTTAAAATAAGAAAAACAGATGAGACTAATAAGAGATTTAAATTCTATTCTATATTGCTATTCAGCAGTAACATGCGATCCATTAATCAACCAAGCTAACTTTCCTTTTCTTTACATAGTTTTCTAATTGCACAGCACTTCCACATGCAGGAAGTACAGAAGAGAGGAGAACCAGGGACTACTCAGGGAAGAATGATGCCAGGCACCAAGACATGCTGGAGCCTGACTGTCCATGTGGCAAAATGGTGGTCAGTGGTATCCTGGACTGCACTAGGAATGTGGCCAGCAGGTTCAGAGACGCAATTCTTCCCTTTCCCCTCAGCACTGGTAAAGCCAAGAGAGGAAAACTGACCACACTCACAAATAAGAGGCATCTTTTCTCTACAATAAATAGTGATGCTGTATGTAAACAAAAATTATTTTTCCATTTTAAGTCTGATTTTTACATCTCAACTAAAAGCAATATTTGCCTCTTGCACTTAGCTGTCACTTAAATATTTTTTAAAAATTGGTAAACCATTGTTGTTCTTTACTTATATGAATACAAAAAACAGGGGTTTCTTCCTCCCTCCCTCCCTCCCTGCCTTTTACCTATTTCCCTATGAACAGTTAGCTATTCCCCATGAACTTAATAGTACTATGAGCAAACTAGAGGAGGAAAACTTCTGGAAAAGAGCACCATAATCTGGTAGTACTAATGCCATTGAGAAACTCTATTCTAACAAGCAGTTCTGCAAGTAGATGATGATCCATTCACTGCTTAACAAGAGCCAATACACCTTTCTACATTTATTAATAAGCTGACGCTTGCTTATCTACTAATTTTTAGTTTGGTTTTTTTTCCTCCAATGAACTATATTTAAATGCAACTCAAATTGCCTTTTTAGAGGTGACAGCTCACATATAGCTTGTTTGTGGGATAAATATTTAGGGCTGGCTACAACAAATGTACTACTGAATTATAATGACTGAATTAAATTAAAGAGAAGCTCTGTCATTTACGTTTCAGGTATTTTTAACCCTTACTGTAAAGAGAAGTTGGAATAATCCACTTTATCCACAAAAGTGTGCAAGGCAGCACTTAACTCCATAAGCTGGATAACAAAGCAACTATGTGATGCATGTAGAATAGCATCTACATGTGCAAAACTCTTTTTTTCCTTTCTAAGCAGCAGAAACTGAACACTAGATGTAAAATATTTTAATGGCTTTTAAAATTGTGACAACTGCATAGAAACATAATTCCTGTATATCTATGAAATTTATTTAATTAAATTATTAATGGAACTATTTTTGTCTAGGACATGGTAGGAGAAAAGTAACGTAAACAGTGAAAAAGTACCAAATTACTGATCTAGTGACTTACCTTTAATGACAGAGATCCAGCAAGAAAGAAGTGGTCCACGTCAATGACAGAGGCAAGAAAGCCAGCTAGGGTGACCTCAGTGAAGTCACTTTTCTTCCTGAGTCCAATCACTATCGCCCAGGACCACATCCCCAGTATGCCATGCACTGCATTATCAGATAAGGCTCTTAGCCAGTCATTCTGCTGAATGAAGGAAAACTGCAGGAGTCTGTCTGCTACAAAGCAGAATATCCCCAAACCTAGACTGGAAAGAACTGACGCTGTGCTGAAAGTCTGGAGAAGAGCATGGGCCTTTTCAGTCTCAGATGCCATGACCAGAGCCATGTTGCAGCACACAAAATGTCATCAGGACACACACTGTGCATTGTCCTTCGTATTGACAGTTGTTCTGTAAATGTCAGAGATCAGAAAGGAAACTATTAAACAAAGAATATCCACTAGCACAAAACATTTGTCACCACAGCTACAATTGGGCATTAAGACCCCAATTTCACTGTTTGCATTTAGCATTCCCAGGGAATTTTTTATTTCAATTAGTTTATTGACTAGAACACTACAGCTTTGAATTAAAACACCTGCCTTTTTTTAGAACCAGCACAAGTAACACAGAGAGCTCTAATTCTACTTACTGAAACCTTAAATATTACAAAATAATCTGAAACATCTCTGTGATAATTCACTGAATGTGTTTCAAGATTCCTTCTTATCTTAAATACATTATTTAACCCAATTAAGTATTTTACACTATAATAACCAAAGAAGATTTGGTTTGGAAGATTCTTATGACTGAAGCACAAAATTCCAGCTTTCTCTATAAAACAACTGTTAAAATTGAGTTTTCAATGTATAATCCAAACCACTGCTTTAATTTACATTCTTAACATATGTAGTACTCCCCTGGTACCCTTTCCTGAGCAATGCCTTGTTTAATTTGGAGACTGGAAGGTAGAATAAGCCTTAAGAAACCCAAACCCACTAAAATATATTCATTATTTATAATAAACACACAAACAACAGCCATTTAGTCAAGCAAAGTAATCAAAATAATTTCCTTACAGAGCAAAACTACCTAAGCTTTTCCTCAGCATGTGCTCCAGCAGAAAAGTTGGCTGTTGCTTTTAGGATTTATCTACCGTCTGCGACCTTACCTTCGTAACTCCTCTTTTTGCAAGGGAAGATCTAACTGTCCCAGCTGTTATGCAAGTCTTATTTGAGAAGCTGTATAGACAGACCAGAGTTTTAGAGCCTACATCCTGCCTAAAAATGGATACTTCCCATCAGTTCACCATTTCTGCGCAATACATTTAATCTTGACAACCCTTTTTACTAGATAAATTCTTATTCTGAAGGGCCTTTTTGAGTGTATTAGACTTTCTAAGCTAATACATAACAATTTATGATTTTAAACATACTATAAATCTTAGAAGATATAGATGTTTGCTCCGGATTATTTACATGCCTGCCTGTTGTAGAATTATCTGCAACACAGAACTACTGGCACTCTCTGTAGGAAAAGAAAAAGCCCACTGAATCATTTATTTAGAAAACATTTAAAAAAGTAAAAGAGAAGAAAGCATGAATAATACATGGACTTTGCACAGAGATAAAAAAAGTGGGTCAAGTTTAGAGTTGCTTAACATGACAGCACTTCTTCTGAATGAATGACTCCTGAAACAATGGAAGTGTTGTTTTCTGGTGGGCACCCTTATGGTACACAGGACATTGCTGAATAAATTCCATGTTAAGGAAAAAAATGGCAGTCTCTTCGCAAATGTTTATTCTATATGGCCGTTGTGTCAGATTGGATTTAATTTAAAATTACCATAAAGGCTGTGTAATAATCCAATCTGTGAAGAGGTCATGTAGCAACATACCTTTAAAAAGCACACCAGTAATTAGAATCAAACTTCCCCTGGGACTAGGACTTTTTTTTCCCATCACAGGTGCCTTACTCCAGTAGGAAATGTCTGTGGTCTATGCCTCAGCGTTGAGCCTCTGTGCTTTCTGAATCCAGTCTGCCCAGCCCAAACACCACTTGTTCCATCCTAAATTAAAACAAACCAGGCACTGGTAAGCACCGATATTAGGGAAAACAGCATACATGAAATATGAACAACAGTAAAAAAATCCAGAAAGAATAGACATATAGTCAATTAATTTGTAAACAAATATAATTGAGGTAAAAGGAACCTCAGCTAAATTTTGAAGCACTGTAAAAGAAAGCAGAAAAAAAACCATAAAAACCCACAAACTAAGAGAAGAGCAGAAATAAAAATGGAACACGATAGTAACTAAAAAATAATAAAACACAAAGTCCAAAACCAAGTCCAGTCTTCTACATAACTGCATTTCAACAGATAGAGCAATCCCTTTTATAGATTTCTTCTTGTGTCTAGAAGATACCCACCTAATGAAATGTTTAAAAGTCCCATTCAGGGATCTCTTTTTAAATTCCACCCCATCACTTAGTGACCCTGGAATAGACAAAGAGAGACCTAGAAATTCATATAGCAACAGAGGTCTGTGTCAGTTCTGTTAGGCTTACACTTGTGCTATGGGTGGTATTAGCATGTGTTCCTTGAGCCAGAATGAAGAACAGGATGCAAACCTGGCTTCAGGTTGACCATAGTCAAGAGCCATGTCCAACTGTTCTTTTTAAGCCGTCTGTTTCAGCCTCCTTTTAAGAAAAAGATGAGTGCCACCTATGTAAAAATCAACTCACATTCCCAGGTACAACAGAATTTCCCAGAATTTTTCCACAGATCAAGAGAGAAATCAGACCACAAAAAGCAAACTCTGGAAAACCAAAATAATATCTGAAATTATAAATTTTAATGTAAAACTAGACCATTTCTTTCTCCCTGAAAAATGATGCTTTTCAGGCTCTTTACAAAATATCACAATAAAGTGTAGATTTTTCCAGCCTATAAATCTCAGAAAGCAGTAGCGTAGCTTACATTCTTGCTAAAACAAAAAGTGGGGAATAATTCATACGGAAATGTTTATAGACCTCTGTGTGGTCACTACAGTTAACATCCTGAAGAGAAGTTCTAGGTTGGTTTTATGTAACAGCTGAGGGAGTAACCCAGCTTTGAGCTGTGGTTTCTCATGACATTTTTAAATGCGATGAAGCACTGAGCAGAATCTCTGTCTATAGTCTCAAAATGGAATTTTGTAGATATGCTTACTTTAATTTAAGGACGTTACCAAAATAATTTTAAAGAACACACAGTTAACACTTTAAATTACTGTCACAAGAAATTATTTAGATCAAAATTGTATATACACTTTTGGGAAAACAGCTAAGAAGCTATGGTGTACGAGCAAAACAAAAATCAAATGGCTAAAATTATCACTTAGAAATATTGCTCTGCATAATTTTTGCCCCAGTTTTGCATGATGCTATTAGATACGTGAATACATATAGGAATTTAATGCATGAAGTTACAGAATCAATAAGATTGGGCAAGACATCTGAGATCATCTAGTTCAACCTACAACCAAACAACACCCTGCCAACTAATAGAATGATGCATTCTACATAGGAAGTTAAAAGACTTGTAATCCCTTACAATTCTATAGTCTCCTAAACCCCTTGTTATTTGATATTGGATGTTAATTTATGTTAAAAACTGCATGAACCAGAATTACGACACCAGCTCAAACCTTTAGCATACAATCTCGTCGTAAAGGAGATCCCAGCCTAAGACTGACTGTAAAGAACTGACAGTGGCAATATTTTTAGGTCAGATAATTATAACACATTATTGGAGTGATCATGCAAATATTTTTGAGCCAGACATAATTACAACGCCTTTTTGGGGTTGGAGAGGGCAAAATCCCAGAAGGAAGCGGTAGGATTTTACCAAGACGCCGAAGAACAAACTAAATTAAACCGAGCAGGAAATTAACCTGCGAACCCGAGATCAGCGGGAGCTTGAGGGGAGGCGCGGGCCTCGGAGCCGCCGCCGCCCGCCCCGCCCCGCCCCGCCCGCCCCGGGGCCCACCTGGAGCGCGGCCGCCGCCATCCGCCCTTCGCCCCACGGGGCTCGGCCAGCCCGACGCCGGCCGGAGCGGGCGGGCAGCCCGGAGGCAGCGGGCTGGAGAGCGCCCCGGGCAGCCGGTCAGGAAGCATGCGTGGCCGCGGAGCAGGCTGGGACCCGGGCCCGCCTCCTCTCCGCCCAGCCCCGCCGGCAGCGGCGCTTGTTGTGAGGGAGAAGCGTTTCCTGGATTATTAAATGGAGGGTTTGGTGTTCGCGCTTTGGCTCCTTTAAATGCTGGGAGGGACATCGATGATGGGAGTTTAGTGTTTTGTCATTTAGGACATAGTGCGCCTCTGACAGACCACAGAGCAGAGTAGCGTCTTCTGTCCTCAAATTAGTACTTATTTACTCATAGAGAGCACTATAGAAAGCATTTGGGAAACATTTTATTCAGTATTAAGACTTCTTGGTGAGAGCATCTGAACAAAAGCACGTTTTTACAGTGGAAACTTGCCATGTCCACCCTGGTCATTCCAGCAGCAATCCATCAATCAAGTTGATTCGAACATATATTCAGACATTAAAAGCAGCACTGTCGGGTCAGGGCTGATCTATTTATACAGCAGCGCTCCATTATCGCAACTGTTTCTCTGCCTATACCAAATATGGCACTGGCGTTATTAGTGATATTACACTGGCACCTGACACACTTCACCGGGAATATACCGGCAGCCTGTCCCTCTGGCCTCAGCCTTCATTCCTGTCTCCCCGCAGAGCCTCCTCAGACACAGCTGGGACAGCTCCTGTCAGGACAGGGAACACAGGGCCTCACCTCCCAGAAGCAGCAAGCAGCGATTCAATATCCTGAATGACTTTAGAAGTTTTTTCCAAAGCTTCCAAGACGCAATCTTCATTGAGTTCTGTCTCACACCCGTTTTCTATTTGTCTGACAGTGATACAAGATGGACTGGATTTTGTGGCAGTTGACCTTTTCAGAATGTTGCTATTGTCTAATAAAACTAGTGTTACTTTGTTAAGAAAAAAATTCAGACTCTTCCTCCTAAAGAGAAAAATTAGACTGCATTTGTATTCATCATTCTGCCTTGCAAAGTCTCACATTTTGTAGCATGGTAATTACATACAGGTGAAAAAAGAAAAAGACTGTATTACTTAAAACTGTCTACAACATTTATAGAAAAATGTCTTTTAGACTTCAATTTATCCAAAAGTTACTTTGAAAAGGAAAAGGGTGTTACACTTCAGTTTAACAGCATGCACTTTTCATACTAATGGAATTGAACACTGGCTTAAAGACAGTTTTAGAGTGGCTTTAAGCAGATTCAGCACAGTGCACATTTCCAGCTGGCTGAACACAATAGAACAATACTAAGGGAGCTGATAAACAGAAAGATACTGTACTGCAAATACAAGCCCAAAGGCAACTGTGTTGTTCCTCTTTCAAGAACAGATCAGCAGATGACTCTTAGCAAAACTGATGCAATACACATTGAAGAGTTTTGTTTTCTGGCAACTTTTCATTTTTGTTTTGTACTTCAACACTGTTTTAATTTTTTTTTAATCTTTACCACAAAATAAGTGATAAAACAAAAAAGATAAGTAAGAAAATTAGGTTTTTAAAGTGATACAGTAAAAGAAGGTAAGATCTGGATAGACAGCCTTTGATGATCTAAAGTGCAGATTTGAACATGCAGAATATAAAAGTGAAAAAGATCTTTACAGCTTTTAAAAGGATACAATTAAATCTCTGTATTTTTTCAAGCTCAGCATCAGCAGACCTGTCCAAAAAAAGAAAGGTTATTTCTCAAGGGTATTTTCTACTTCAGATTTTATTTTTTGACAGTTTCCAGCAATACTGAGAATTAGATTAGCAAAATCTGTCTTTGATACCATAGTTCAATGGCTGACATTTGTAAATCATTTGTGTTTCCAAAAATTTGGTCTCTGCTCTAAGAATAGTCTCTTTGCTGTAAGTATGTATAAATAGAGATAGAATTTTCATTTCAGCAGCTATAAATATAACATAGCTGATGCTATAAAATTCATCAGCTGAATCTGCTATAATTTAAGTAACAAGTGCAATTGCAATTGATTTCAATTAGCACATATTTAATATCCTAATGTTTGCAGATGACGTCAGTAGATTTTTGGTCAGTAAGTAGCAAGTGCAACTGCAATTGATTTCAATTAGCACATTTTTAATATCCCAATATGTTTAGAGATGATGTCAATAGATTTTTGGTCAGTAGCATGTATTAGAAAGGACAAATACATCAGCAAGAGATACAACTGTCATTAGGCAGTTCAAAGTACTGCTTTAGATGCTTGATGTTCTGTTAAAAAACATCTTTCTTGGTCTGATATCTTTACAGTGCAAGACACCATCTTTGTAACATTAACTGTCCTTTGAAAAAGTTACCATAATTCTGATTTTTAAGACAGGCAAAGCACAATGAAACAACCTTAACCTGAAACTCAGTGAACATTTCAAACACTGAATGAAAAATAGCAAACCATATACAAAATAAATGGACTTTAAAAAAAAATTTCATTTTTGCCCATTAGGAAATGCAAGATACAAAATTCAGATTATAATATTTTTGAGCTTTGTTTTCAACGTTATTTATAGTCAATTATTTGGGATAAAGATGAATACCAATTTTCTTCAGTTACGGAGTGTACAGGATATTCAGCAATCTCCTTCCTTTCATTCAAACTTCTGCACCATTCTATTGCTGTTCTGATGTACCTGTGTTAATATGAAAATTCAAAAAAGTAGTTATTTATTTAAGAAATAAACTCCATTTTTGAGAGAAAAACTGAAGGCACTAAGGAATACACTTGTATCTGAAAGAAAAATCTATGATTCAAAATCTGTATTTTTCTCCTAGCTTGCCTTGCCATTTTTTCTCTGGAATCTTTTTCATATTTAGATCTATACAGTTATAGTAAATTATAACAAAGCTGTATGTTTTGCAATGAACAGTATACAAATGTTAATTTTTGTTTGTGAATATCTCCATGCTAAAATGCAGCACAGAAAACTTCTGATGATTCCAATAATGAGGCTGTAATTACAGTAAGCAGATTAGAAAACAATCTGTAGGCAGAGGTCAATATCTGTAATAAAGCAAAAATTACATAAAGTGCTGTTCAGTTCTATATATCAGGTCTATATAGGACACATGCTTTTGGGTTTTTTTATTTTTTTTATCCACTGTAGTAAATGCCAAGTTGCAGATCTAGTTATTTTTCTAGAAAGACACTGCCATAACAGTTATAATGGAATCACAGCATGCAGTGGCCCTGAGTCACACAGGTCTTGAATCTTTGCCAGAAATAAGATGGAGCTTTTATCACTACATGTTTAGTCCACGCCTACCAGTTTATCATCAGAAAACAGTGTTTCTTCATCTAAGAGGATTTATAAAGAAAAAAATTTATATTTAAATTGTTTAAATTGAACAACTAATTTAAATTACCTTTCATAGACTCCAGGATCACTTATTTGAATTAGCTGCTGTAACCCATCAGGAGTAGTTAACTTACACCAGCCTACATCTTCATTTATCTTAGAAGAAAATAAAAAGCAAACTCAAATATTAATTTTCTACTTAAGTCCAAAGAAAAAACCAAGCAAGTATAATATGCCAATTCAAGAATGAAATATACATGAACAATCCACTTGAAAAACTTGCAAGTCTGTGGTCTGCTAGGGATAGAATCTGCTAAAGTCTGCTATTACAAATGCAGGGGAAAAACAACTGGCACAGCCCCAACTCTTCCTTTGTGCTATTCAGGAATAAATTATTTCTAGAAGTGTGTAAAAATGTCTCCAAATCTGTAGAATTCTCAAAGTCTTTTTTTGTTTCTGTATTTTATTGGCATCAGAACTTCTGTTTGGTATTCTCATTAATTTCCTAGTAACACTTTTTCATGGATAGTCCTTCCTCTAAGCCACATGTTACCTGGATCTCACTACAGGAAGAGCTGAAATCCCAAACCATAGTCAGGATCATCCTATCGCAAAAAAAAGCATGGACTTTATGATCTGAGTACACAATCAGTCTTCCTGTGCTGGGAATAACCTTTTCATGCAGCAAAACCGGCAACATTTCTTGTCCATCAGCCTCAGATACCTAGAACCCAACAAATACATTAAAAACTTGAAGAAAGGCTATTTACATCATTACAACTGCCTGTATCTGTTCCAGATATTTTATTCACTTGTTTTTCCATATCACAACCAGCTCTCTTCATCATGCAATTGCTTCTTAAATGTAACTTTTAAATCCACGCTTTTGGTTCCCAAATATCTGCCTTCCTATCTGTGAGGATACACTCACCATTCTTCGCTCTAGATTAAGTCCTATTCCCTACAGTCTGTATAATCATGCTTGTAACACTGCAAGATTTATACACTTTCAGCTACATACCACTTTCCAGCAGCAGAGATGATAATTATGACTTAATGACAGTTTTGTTTTGCAGCAATACTGAAGAATTCTGAGGAGAGGAAAAAAAATCAGACAAGGTATTAAGCATTTAATTCCTACTATGTCTTCTAAGCACTTGAAAATTTTGTTCTGTAAGTTTAGACACACCCTCAGGGCTAAGATAACTTCCTTTAATTTTTATACTTAAAGTAATAAGAAGCGTTTTGTGTGATTTTAACTCCTGTCCTTTCTAAGTCAGCAGAATTAATATAACAA